TGTTTTACTTTGTAGGCTATATGAATTTAATACATGTTTGTATTATTATATATATTATTATGTTTTAAAAATGGTTAAACCATGGCACATGTTTACATTGCTGAAAAGGCAGTCGACTATTCCCTTCTTGCGGAGGAGCAGCGCGTTTACATTCCTGAAGGCGGCGTTCAAAGAATCAGATCAGACACTAGAGCGTCTACATTCCTGAGTTGGCGGCGTTTAATTACTGTATGTGATTGACCTTGTGTCTGCTTCTCTTATGCTTCTCCTGATCGTGGGAACCTACTTGTGTGGGAACGTTTCTCACTGAATTCATTGTTACTAGGCAATTTGCAGTAATGCAAACTGGTGGTATATGCCTATTTCAAACAGTTTATTTCCGTTCATGACAAAGTAAGAATATCGATACGAAACAAAGTGAATTGATTATATTTCTGAACGGGACCGGTAGCGGCAAGATTTGGCAGACGGGGATACGATGTCTCCGACAAAAAATCACAAGGCAAATATTAAAACAGTGTAAATATTTATTTCATTTCCTTCAACTCATATAACTTATATACCGGTTTGGTGTCCGGCGGGGGATAGGTTTTACTATCATAGTTTAACTTTTATCTATCAGAATCTAGCCCCGAATCCTAGACTCATGTATTTAAAGCGGCCTGTAGCATGTGTATACAGCATATATTTGTATTTTTTGTCGATGGATAAATAAATGTCCGAATATTAGAATTGAATACTGTTTTCTGTACACTACATGTTTGTTTGGGTCAGTTAAGAATTAGCACCTAATTAGGCCTATTAATAAAATACAACGGTACACGAACATTCACTTGTATGTTTTATTTATATTTTGATATTAACATAGGCCTTTAACACTCAATATTATTTTTATTTAATATAAGCCAATAAACAGCTTCCACACATAAAATAACAGTAGGCCTAACCAATAAAAATATATAAAATACAAAACAAAATTTATGCAAGATTAAAAAAACTATACAGAAGTCTCCGCCCGGCAAGCAGACAAGGCCATACTTTAAACTGGCATCCAGGCACACTTCTGTCAGAGCGGCGCTCAAAGCGAATTTCTGTAGACCAAGGAGGAAAGTTCTTTCCTCCATGTATAGATCAGGGAGATGTAAAAAAATTGTTTACATCTCCCTGTATAGATCAACACCGGCCACACAGTCAGTGACATTTGTCACGTGATGTTGCGTACTCTGTTGGACTGATCACATCCACGCACACGAGGTACCCAATATTAATTGTACAGTAGTTGCATAGGCCTAGTTGCTGTATATAATATATATTGATGCCTACGTTTAATAATAGTGAAAATAGATGTTCTATTTTCTCTATAGTTTATTGAATGATGTTTGGCAAATACTGGCGTCCATTTGTGTTCCTATGTGATATGTGTGCAGGGAGTTGATAAATGTTTTTTCTTTCGTCATCAGCTTCTTAGCTGGTAGGCTGCTGTTTAACGAAGATGGGTCTTTCCGACAGAGCAAACGGCAATTAGGCCTACATGCATGTGCCGCCATTATCGTCATTACCACTTAATTTAACTATTAGGACTATGCAGCCTTTAAACTTTGAACTTGGTTCATTTCAAAGTAAAACTTGTTCAGTATTTTAAATTGTACAAAAACGGTAGTTCAACCGGGGCCTGGTCTAACGACACAGACGCGTTTGTCGCCCAAAACAATAGAAACAATGGCAAACGCGTTCAACAGCACAAACCCGTTTAGACGCGTCTGGGACATATTCCGACTAGCTTATTAATATTCATGAGGCACAATAATTAGACGATCGCTTTCCCAGACGCGTTTGTAATACATGGTTTCCCAGACGCGTTTCTGTCGTTGGGGATAACTTGTAGATCGCGCCTTATAGGTTTATTATTAAAGTCTTTTAGAAATCCTATAGGTATATTGTTAAAATCATATAGGAATCCTATTGGATTATTAATCAAATCTTATAAAATTCTTATAGGAATCTTATAGAAATCCTAGATTTATTATTTTAATCCTTATAGGAATCCTGTATGTTTATTATTAGAATCTTATAGGAATCCTGTAAGTATTCTTTTATAATCTTATATGAATCCTATAGTTTTTATTATTAGAATCTTTTAGGAATCATTTATAGATATCCTATGGGTTTATTATTTGAATCGTATATAAGTCTTATAGGTTTGTTACTAGAATATTATAAGAATATTCTAAGTTTATTATTAGAACCCTATAGCAGACATGTAGGCTAGATTTACATTATTTTATATGTACAGTATATTATTATTATATTATACTGTAGAAGAAATCCTATGGACTTATTATTTGAAAATTATACGAGCCCCAAGTAGTTGTAGGCCGATTTATAGAGGGCGCGCTTAACGACAAAATCGTTATTGAATAACTGTGCTCGTTTACAAATATAACGTATTGTAGTGCGCCCTCTTACAACTTTAATATTTTACAGTTTAGGCTTCTTTACTGGACATCGAATCTTCTATATTTATTATCTTGTTTTTACAAAATCTTTGATGTGCATCAACTCAACATGATAGTACAGTATGTGGAAATAATGTTATCGCCAGAAATGTTAAAAAATTATGAAAATTAGGAAACGCTTATCAAAGATATATTGTCTGGCAAAATTTAGACATTTTGAAAAATTAATGCCTAAAAATAAAGAACAATTGTTCATGGAAAACTCCAACATTTTAAAAAATGTTCTCATCAAATAATACATCTTTGATGCTGCATTTTCTTGATAAAGTAATGAAAACAAATACTACACCATAAAAACAATATTATTTTTTACTTAATATATAAATGTTTATTTAACCACTTCCTATTTTTTACTCTAAATCACGTAAATACATAGATTTAAAAATATTATTTTCTTGCATAATTAAATAGGTTTTATAATACTTGTTAACAATATGTAAACATAAACCTAAAAATAACTTCCAACTTCTTTAATATTTGGTAAACATCTAAAAATATTATTTTCTTGCATCATTCATTGTTCGGCATCAACAGTAATTGACCTTGGGATAGGCGAAAAACAGAATAAAAAACCCAAATATTGATCAAATTAGGGAAAAGGACTCTGAAAATTCCTATCCGGCCCCAGGTGGCGACCGATCGTATGATTAAAAATGAATATCGAAAGGCTCCAAGGTCAAAAGTACATAATGTAGATACAAGCTACTAATCCATATTATAATGAGATAAAAATGATACAGTTGAACTTGCCTAGTCGACTTTGCTTAACGTCGATCTTATTGTTTATGCCAAATTGTGTTTCCCATTAATCAAACTTTAGGTCAAATATTATCTAAGTCAAATATTTTTTAGATTCAACATAGGCAAGTTCAACTGATTAGACAATCGGGCATAAAAAAAAACTGTTTGTCCTGCTCCTATCTTGCTGAAAAATAGGGGCTGCATTTTTAAAGTGAACTTTATTTTTTTCCTTTTTACGCATAAATGTTGTCTAAATTCATTACAAGACATTGATTATGGGTTATTTTTATTCAGTCTGAAGAATACCCTTTGGAAAACAAATAGTGAGACAGGCTTAAAAAAAAGTTTATTTTTCTCCTGTGACCAAAATTATCATGAAATTTAATTTAATGATAATTTTGGTCACAGGAGAAAAATAAACTTTTTTGCGACCACCCCTACTATACAATTTTCAGCAAATAAAGGCAAACAATTTTTTAGGCCTCTTCAATGATTATAAAATAAATAAATAATAAATAATAAATAATAATAATAAATGAAAATAAGGTTTAAAGAAAGCTTCAAAGCTTGTGACAATTTTTTTACTTGAAATTGAGTCCTTAATGTTCATGTCCTTAGAAGTTATTACATAATACATCTTTTATTGACATAGCACCCCCTGCTCTCAAACTGTGAGTATCTAGAGCGCTTGGATCATTAAAGTACGGAGATAAGCTAGCTAAAATCAAGTTGAGATGCTTGATATACACAGCTATTCTGTAGGTTTTCAGGAAAGACGGATTAAACTAAAGCTTGAAGACCTTCCATCTCTTCCAACCACCAGGATAGTTGCTCGTAGTAGAACCTGATTTTGCTGCCAACACTGGTAAAGAAAGTGAAGAGTGAAGAAACCAAAGCTAAAAGATACTCGTATGTTGGTATCGTAATATGCAATCTTGTTCCAAACTCCATTAATCAGAACGTCTGAAAAATTAAATAGATGGTCATAATCAAACAAATTACAAATGTAAAAGTCACTGTACACAAATTAATTTTCCAATAAAACTGATTTTATTGTTTACTAGTAGACCGCTGTCATGCTCAGTCGCTTGTTGCTACAAACAAAAGTCTATCGTATAGCCTATAATCACTTGTGGGGTGTAATAGTATTAGAAAAAAATACAAAATAAGCCCTAGCTTCGTGATAATGCATTAAAAAATGAGCTTTGGTATAGTGCATATCGGCCAGTCCTATAAAGGACTCAACTTAAGAGATACACCCAGGCACAGCTATTCTAAAAATTATTGTTAACTCAATACCTAGAATGAACTCTCATGGATGCACTGTCGCCAATCCCTCCAAGGGCTTAAAATGATGATCGAATTAGACAGGAATATACCTCACATTAACAAAACGAACCAGTTAATAAACAAAATGCTTAAAATGATTGTTGCTACTTTGCTATTTGAGTTTGTTTGAGCATCTTTACGAGTGGGTGATGACCTGTCTCTTATACACATCTAGATGTGTATAAGAGACAGGCTGCGCAGCGCGGTAGAAGTACGCCCGCTATAAACTCAGTAAGCAGAAAACAAAAGCACAGTATCTTGTGGAGAACATATAAACAGACAAACCTACAGTGCGCGGTGCAGTACTGGGTAATAAAACATATACAAGCGTTAGTTGGCGTCCTACACTATCTGCGTAGAGCGTATCGTTTTATTACGCTCCCAATGAGCGTTGTTGGCTCTCTTGTTCTATTTATACTCTTTGGTTGGTATCGTAATATGCAATCTTGTTCCAAACTCCATTAATCAAAACATCTGAAAAATTAAATAGATGGTCATAATCAAACAAATTACAAATGTAAAAGCCACTGTACACAAATTAATTTTCCAATAAAACTGATTTTATTGTTTACTAGTAGACCGCTGTCATGCTCAGTCGCTTGTTGCTACAAACAAAAGTCTATCGTATAGCCTATAATCACTTGTGGGGTGTAATAGTATTAGAAAAAAATACAAAATAAGCCCTAGCTTCGTGATAATGCATTAAAAAATGAGCTTTGGTATAGTGCATATCGGCCAGTCCTATAAAGGACTCAACTTAAGAGATACACCCAGGCACAGCTATTCTAAAAATTATTGTTAACTCAATACCTAGAATGAACTCTCATGGATGCACTGTCGCCAATCCCTCCAAGGGCTTAAAATGATGATCGAATTAGACAGGAATATACCTCACATTAACAAAACGAACCAGTTAATAAACAAAATGCTTAAAATGATTGTTGCTACTTTGCTATTTGAGTTTGTTTGAGCATCTTTACGAGTGGGTGATGACATACACAAGCTTCTTTTTTACATTTATATTTGGCCAGTCAGCGTTAACCAAGTCTGTACAATAGTCAAACTTGTTCTCCAAAATATTCTCCACAGTGGCGGATTCAACGGAACCCAGCAGCCACCTTACCACCTATTAAAACATGAGTGAATATTTGATTATTGAGGTGCACTCCCAAAACCTTTATGTACTAATCGTGGAAAAGACAAGCCAAACAAGTCACTCGTCACAAATACAGGGTTAAACAGTAAAATGAGCACTATAAAGTGGTAAAAGAATAATTTAAATCCTACATTTCGTTATGAAGTAACAGGAGTTTAACATACAGCTGTTAAAAGAACAATATATGAAAAAACAGCCCACAAAGGTAATGATTTTTTTCTCTGGCAGAAACCATCACCAAATCAACATAAAGGTTAGTTTAATATGATAAAATAGATTTCATAAATTTTGACATTCCAGCATGTTTTGGCAATTATATCTGAAACGGGATTTGTGACGAGTGACTGGTTTGGTTTGTCTTTGCCACAATTTGTCAAATTTACAAATATCATCAAGTACTTATCTGTTCAAGATTTGTTTCCTGCTGTGTCTGGTGAAAACCTTCTGCTCATTGAGGACATTGGTATTGACTTGGTCACACCCCAGAAAGCTTGGTAAGTCCGGATGACACAGGTTGAAATGCTCTTGCTGGTGAAGGTTGAATAACAAAAATTGCCCTGTCCTCCGTTGTAATATTTTTAATCGCATTCAAGTTTATTTGGCAAGGGTGCTACATACATTTTCCCCGCCACATTCATTTGGACCGCCTTTCTGATTATGTCCTTTGCATCGAAAGCCCTGATGAAATGTTTTTTTACAAGCTTGATATACCGCTCCTGGATTCTGTTTGATGATGACAGCGGCTTCAACTGTTTTGCGAGAACAACTATGTTTTGCAGACAATTGCAGAACCCAACATGTTCACAGTCTTTCCATGCCACAAGACAGTTAATCTCCCATAATGTGCCGGTTTTCTCTTGGAATGTAGTATTGATGGATTTTGTTGCCCTACTGTAGCTTGTGGAATGATACATAGTGTTATTCACAATGAACCTGTTGTAAAGCTGAACTCTCTTTCTGCCTACCATTTTACCTAGGTGAGTTTCAATTGCTAATTGCTCAGATGGCCTAAGCTCCCTGTACTTCGCCACACCACAGACAACAACATCCTTTGTAATGTGCACATGACCTCTAGGGAACTTTTTATTTGTAGTAAGCTTTGAAAACATCATTTCAACTGACTGCGATGCCCCTAGCATTGTTTTCTTTGATTCTGCATCCCTTAAACTCTGTTTCAACACATAATGATCATATATTTGCTGGGGAACATATTGGGTACCTTTGTAAAACTTCAAGAGAACACCATTTTGTGCTTCAAACACAAAGCCGGATGTTGCCCACAGCGGTCCCCATCTTCGCACACAACCAGGTAGGTGCTCCAATTGATGTACGTTGAAGGTCATGTGTTCTAGACCATAAAGCACTACTGCCTTTCTAGTAAACTGCTGGATTTGTGCCTCAGCCCTATCTATTTCTTCATATTTAATATTATCTTGCAGAAGGCTGTGCATGGCAGCAACAAGCAGATCCCAGTGCCGTTTGTACTGTGTAGGCAGTACCCCTTCAAGGATAACACTTGAATAATACAATAGAAAAGATCTCCATTCATTGGCCTTGTAAAATTTCCGCATCCGCAATGATCGTGGGCGTCTAGTTATTTCAGATGGTGGACAGATAGATAACAAACGCCTATCAAGTACCCCAAGGCTCTTTCCTATGTACCATGGTGATTGATGATTATTTGATGACATCCACAACTGCACAAACTGTTTATACACACCTAGCAGAACTGCATGCATGTAGTCTGGTGCAAATCCTAGAATAATGTCAAATTTTGGCAGTAACATCAACGGCGAGGGTCCATTTACTCCAAATACCCTTTCATTGCGATCTAGTGCCTGAAAAGAATGTTCTTGATGAGTAACAGCGTCTCTCATCTCGTGGACTTCTTGTTGGTATGCTCGTGTATGCCCTCTCCCTCTTTTTGTCACAGAGCCTGGGTGGTAACACCAATCACAACCATACTCTCCGTTGAATTGTACACAATTTCTTATGATTGGTCTACAAATTGTATCTGCAATGCAAACAGCTGTAACCACTCTGGAACGTTTCATTATATTACCATCGCTCCAAGTGAAACCCTCCACTCCAAGATGTTCCATTTCATCAACGAATGCTTTTAAATAGGTATCCGCTCTTGGCTTTAAGTTGCCAAACCACAAAGTTGCTAAGAACCTATGTTGTGTTCTAAGTTTTGCAGGCAACTCATTTATTAGGCAATGTAGAGGCCATATAGCATAGTCACTTGACTTAAAGACTGGTGCTCCGTCACAGTTCCATTGAATGGTCAAATCGTTTGGTCCAAATCTTGCATTTTGACATAGCTGTCTGTACTGTTGCCCAAAAGTGACATCTTTTAAATCATCTCCCTCAATTAAATTTCTGTCAATAAGGTTTTCACCCAGAGATTCTACTTCAAGTATATGCTTTATCTGCTGTTTAATAGACAATGAAAGAAAAAAGTGTCCCTTTTTCACATCAGGCATGAAGCTTTCACCACAATCTGGGCATGAGGTAATACCAGCACAGTGGTCTTTCTCTTGTATGTAGGCCAAGCAGCGTCTACAATAAAAATGGATCTTGACAACTTCCTTGTAATCTGTAAAGTTCTTAAAAAATAAATAATTTGATGCTGGAAATACACCAGGAAAAAATGTATTCAGCAAATCGAGGAGGTCTTTCATGCATTCCTTCGACAAACAATGTTTCAAAGAGAATGCTAACAATAAGAGCAGACTCTGTGATTTTGTCACATCTGATCCTGGAATAAGTGGCTCATTGTCCTCAGGTGGTACACCTCCATGATGATTAGGATCGGCACCTTCATCATTGACATCATCTTCATAACTGTCAGTTGACTAAAGAAAAAAAATAAGAGCTTAATTTAAAAAAAATTACCAATTTCAGATGGGACTTGTACTGTATTCGCCAATTAAAATGAGGAGCTTTTGTGTCGACTTGAATAAGCACTGGAGTGCTTAATGTAATAAATGAACCAATTTATGATGTTTTGATTTGTGAATACAGTACAACTTTTGTGCTGACTTGAATAATTATCAGGGTGCCTACATACACATTTTCAAAAGTTACAGCAAGTGTAATTGAATCAGTAAAGTACAATTTATTGTCAGCTGAATTAAATCTGTACTTATAAAATCAATATCAATGCACATATTAACTCTTTTCACAGCTTTAATGCATTTTCAATGAAATCATGTTAAAACAATGTTAAGCACATAATTTGGCATTAAATAAAGACATACCAATATTGAGTTCAAGTCTTCATCGTCGGACATAATATCTCCCTCAAACTGTCCTGTACCATGCTCTACATAGCGTCCACAATTTAACTGTGATTTAATGAAGAAAAAAGTTAATATTTGTCAAGGAATGAAATTTAAATACTCATTCATTTATAATTACATTATTATACACCCACAACAAGCACATAACTGACCAATTACAGGATAGAATAATGCTATATAAGCTAAAACTTTAGGTTATAAATCTTTTTTTTAAATTTTATTTTATAGGAATTTATTATTTCACAGCTTAAACAGTTTTAATGAAACATGTTCAAACAAAAGTTCAGCACAGTAATTTGGCATTACATAAAAAACATACCCATATTGAGTCTTCGTCATCAGACATAATTATATCTTCCTCAAATTTTTCTGTACCATGCTCATCATTGACCTGTAATAATTTTGAAAAATTACTAAATATTTTCTGGGAATAAAATTTAAATACACAGCCTATTATAATTACTGTACATTATTTATACACACAACGGAAGGACATATTGATGCTTTATCAAACTCATTTTATATCTAACCCATCGCCTGCCAATAATGATATCAAATGCCCGAAAATTAAATATGAACATTTCTTCCTGTTACTGCACAGTTTACATTCAAAAATAGAACTGACTTGGCAATACTATTTTTCCAACCCTCCCCCAACAATTTAAGAAAAAAAAAATTTGGAACAAGGAATAAAAAAGCCTTGCCTTATAAAGCCTAGGAGTGGACTTGTTTCAGTCCATCACATAATTGAAACCAGACCTTGGGAATGCAATGGAGATCCATTTAAATTACTACAGAAAATCCATTGAGAAATACTAATTGTAGTTCTCAACAGGCAAATCACTAGTGAAATAATAAACAAATGATTACTGATAAATTAAAAAACTTACAGATAATGTGTTGACTTAGTTCTAACAAAAATTTTTTAAACATTTTTAGACAATGATTATAGATATATGAAAATAAAACACATACCAGTACTGAGTTACAATCGGATAGAATGGCACTCTCAATGTCTGCTTCACCACATTCTGCATCTCTTCCACCTCTTCCTCTTTCCTACCATTAAATAAACAAAACAAATAAAAGATTATTCTAAATATAATACAAGTTATTAAAAGAAAATTAAACCTAGGCTCTAATTGATTAGACAAAGAGATTGAGCTATGTTACTAATTAAGTAAAATTACTAACACCATAACTGTGATCCATAGACCTGGTAATGTGTACATTTTTTTTGTAAATAAAAAATTAAATAGACTATTATTACTACTACTACTACTACTATCTACTACTATTATTTGCTATAATTACTATTATTAATTAATTGTTAATTTAAAACTTTAATTTAACTTAAACTTATAACTTATTCCATATGTCCATGAAGCAAAAATATCTTTAGATACGATAAAAGGGCCTTCCACAATATTCTTTTTGTCACGGACATTGCATTTTAGAGAATTTTAAACGCTATATCTAGTAAACCAGTCAAGGGAAACACTATATTTTTGGTTCAATTATTGTAGGTATAAAAAAATGAAATAAAATCTTAGTGCGACTGTAAAAATGAAATATGTCCGCGTCACGGACATAAGAGGATTGTGACATGACGTTTGACAGCATAAATATAAATTAGAAGTCTTGTGCTGTTTTTGCAAGTATATTCCTTCATGTAAAACACTGCTGCGTCAGTGGATTGTTAATATCTAATACTCAAGTTAATGTAGGCCATGTGACGCCCATCGCTAAATCCCTCTATTAGCTTTAATATCAACATAAAACACATATCTCCCCTTGCATCCAAAAGGTGCATAAGAGTTTTCCCCTTTACCCTCTCCTATCTGCCCATGATACATCAGGTACATTTGGGAATGTAAATGTTTTCTTATGTTGCTCCTTAAAAAGCTACTGTAATTCATATAGGTTAGAGTTTAAAATTTGACCCAAGAAAGTACGTACATCTTTTTTTGTTGGAAATTCAACAAGTACAAGAGTAAATAAATTAAAAAACATATACTGGTTTTTGAATTTGCTAACAGCTCCATCTGACCATTTGGTTTTAGTTCCCTGTAACGCCCGCTAATTAAAATCTCAATATCCATGTTTGCGCCAAATAGTAAATTTATAATGTTTGTACCATTCAAAATATTGTAAAAACTCCTAAAAATATTCAAATGATGTTTAATAATCCTATATTACTTTCTCACTTGACAAAATTTAAACTGAACAAAAATTTTAATTGTTTTGTAGTAAAGTGTAATGCCCGTAACAAAATTTTAATATCAAATTTATCATTAAACTTTTTTTTTAAATGTTTGTATATATAGTGTATATTGAATTAAAAGAGGATATGAAATTATTTTTTTGCACTAGAACTATATAAAACATTTTAAATATGTGCTAAAAACGTCACAGACTTACATTTATGATACAAGACAAGAATTATTATTTGAAGGAATTTTTTTAAAACCAATAAAAAATTATAAAGAGTACATCTAATACACATATCCAACTCAAACTTTTATGAAAAAATATTTTTCTTAAAAATATAGGCAATAATAAAATGTAATGTCTGTGACATAAAATTTGCATTTTCCATCTTTAACGTGAAATATATTCCGAAGCATCAATAATTTGAAATTTTTGTTTTTCCTTCATATAATTCAATGTACTGTATCTAATTTCTGAAAATGTCCAACTTCATGTAAAAAACGCAATTTAAAAATTGTCAACATATGTCGCAATTACTATGAAATGCACCTGAATTAGGGTAGCCTAAGACTAAACCATTGGAAAATTTATTACAATATTTATTTTATGGTCTTGATTATTATTAATTTAAAAAAAAAATTGAAAAAAAAAGCTATCATGCTATTTCTATGGGATCCCAGGATCTTTTCCTCATTCCCCTTCTCTCGGTGGCACTTTTTTTGCAGAATCTATAAAAAATATCCTCACTTCCTATTAACCAATAATAGAGATGCACAGACCAAAATATATTTAAATTTTATAAGTAGAACTCATATTAAGGGAACACCTTCGGGAATAAAATCAAGTGTCCCCTTAATAGGGGTATCCCATGAATGATCGAAAAGGTTCTACTGTAGTTTCTTTCACATTGGAAAATAATAATAGTTGCTCTCTTTTTCATTGGACATTGGATTCAGACACACACTTTCTCAAATTTGACCTATAATAATTGAAGCCTAGTAGACCACCTTTATGGAACCATTATCAAATGATTCTTGGAAAGGCTTCTTCATAAAGCTTTTGCTCTACAGAATGCCTTCTTGTTGTAATATGAATAAATATTGGCGACCCATATCCCCTTTTTATTAAGAAACTAAAAAGCTGTAGTCAAGACCACAACTGCAATCTATAGGCTCGCAACCAGTTCTCGGTCACTTTAGTAATGATTTACATTAATTTTATGTTTTACTAACTTGTGTTGTATTTGTTCTGATTACTAATATCAGGCCTGCCAACCCCCTGGGCCATGAAAATCTGAAGATTTTTTTTTTAATATCTTAAAAAAATCTGGAGATTTACTAAAAAATCTGAAGGTTTCTAGAATTAATTAAAAGATGATGCAATTTATGATGCTTGTCTATCACTGCGAATACATTGACTAATAATGCATAAATCGGAGTAGGCTAGGGCTATTTTGAGGAGGTGGGAACCTGTGAAATCGGGTGAAAATTACATTTGATCGGGAGAACTGGAGATTTGTTTAGATATCAGGTGATACCCGACAGCATCGTGTGATACCTGACAGGATCGGGTGAGTTGGCAGGTCTGTAATATATAAACCCATTACCGGTGTTTACCACGAAATTTTTAGCAACCATAGGCCTATATTATTTTATTTTGTTATGTTCATTACTTTTTCATTAGTTTAGGCCTAACTATGGCCTAGGCCTAGGGGCCTAGTAGTAATGAATTGTTTGCCAAAAAACAATTAATTTTACGGCCGGATGCGAAACCGTAGCGCTACTAGTACTAGGCTGAATTACCACTAGGCTAGGCCAGGCTTCTACTAGGCCTAGGCATACTAGACTACAGGCCATAATTGGCCTAGACTAGTAGTATGTAGGCATACGTTAACGCCAAACCCGCCTTAACACTATTATACAGAGTTTATTTTACGAATGTTAATTTACCTCATCATCCTGCTGCAGCAGTAACTGGTCTTGTTGGTCATCAACAATGTTGTCTTTGAATCTCTTCAACGAATGACTGGTTCTTGGTATCGGATCAACTTGGGTTTTAGTTAGATACCGTTTATACGGGCCTCTATGCCTAGACGGTCTCTCAATTACCCGACTCGACGGCATCATCACCACTGCGTCTCTCCGAGCGAAATCAAACACTAGACTAGAGTTATAGAGCAGATTTGCGAAAAACTTTGCGATACTACGGTATTGGAACGTCCGGTAGGAAATGCATAGTGAGAGAAGAATCGGAGAGCGCGCGCTATAAGCTATGCCGCTCGGTTTGTTTGTTTCCTGTCACTTTCTCCACTCCACCGAATTGCATTCTGGTAACTTTCTTCACGCCTTAAACTCAGTTCGGTATCAACGTGGAGGTATTGTGCATTCGTTTTGTGTAAAGTCAAATGCATTTATCACGAAGTTCTTATTTTTGTTAATCCGAACTGTTTCTATCTCCATTTTATTAATTAAGAACTAATGAATTAAATAGTTTACAATGGATGTACAGTTACTTCATGATATGTTAGGTCTAATTATTATTATTATTAGCCCTATTATTATTATTTTTTTTTTTTAAAGCATACTAGGGCTTTCATTATTATTATTATTATTATTATTATTATTATTATTATTATTATTATT